ATTTGCTTTACTGTTTGTTGTATATGTTAATTTGCTCCATGTACAGCACTTTGTATGCAGCGATGGCTGTTTGAAAGTGCTCTATAAATACAGTTGAGTTGAGTTGAGTTGAGTTGTCGATAGTGAGGTTAAAGTTGGAGGCTGTTTGGGTGAGGGACCGAGGACCAATTATTAGCAGTTGAGATTTTGTGCAGTTAAGAGTGAGAAAGTTTGTTTGCATCCAGGATTTGATATCTGAAAGACAGTTAAACAGGGTGGTGTGGGTTGCTGTGGTAAATGATTTGATGGAGATGTACAATTGGACATCATCAGCGTAGCAGTGGAACTGGAGACCATGATGACGTATGATTTGGCCGAGGGGTAGAAGGTAGAGGATGAAAAGAAGAGGACCAAGCACAGAACCCTGGGGCACACCTTGGGACAGTGGGGCACTGTCAGAAGAGCAGTTGTTGATGTGTATGAATTGTTTCTTGTCTGTGAGATATGAGCGAAGCCAGGTGAGGACTTTGTCGGTGATGTTTAGGGATTGCCGGTGAGCGAGTAGGATGTAGTGGTTGATGTTGTCGAAGGCCGCTGTAAAGTCAAGAAGGATGAGGATGGAGAGTAGGCCGGAGTCAGAGGAGAGTGATTTTGAGGAGTTCTGTTTCAGTGCTGTGTTGTGTGCGGAATCCAGACTGAAATTGTTCGAAGAGTTGGTTATTGTCTAAGTAGGTTTTAATTTGAGATGTGACGGCATGTTCTATGACTTTGGACAGAAAGGGGAGGTTGGAGATGGGTCGAAAGTTGCTCATGATGTCAGGATTGAGTCTGTTTTTTTTTTTTTTGTTGTTTTTCTTTTTTTTTATGATGGGGGTTACAGCAGCCAGTTTGAGTGAGGAGGGGACATAGGCAAAGTTGAGGGAGGGGTTGACAATGTTCATGACGAGGTGGGAGATAGTGAAAAAGCAGTGCTTGACGAAGGACGATGTGATGGGATCCAGTGTGCAGGTGGAGGAATTCATTGTTGAGATGATGTTGGTGAGTTCGGCTATGAAAACCGGTGTGAATTCGGAGAGAGGTGGAGTAGTTGGAGTGATGAATGCTGGTAGGAAGGGGTGGAGGGACGGGTGAGGTGTGAGTGAACTGTAGAGGATGTCGATTTTGGATTAAAATTAGGGTAGGAATGAATTGCATTTGTCTACGGTAAAAGAGGTTGAAATGTTGTCGCTGGGTTTGAGGAGTTTGTTGACAGTAGAGAAGAGAGCCTTTTGGTTGTTGGAGTCGGTGTGGATAAGGTTGGAGTAGTAGGCGGAACGGCTGGAGTTGAGTGCGGTCTTGCATAATTGAAGGTGATCGGTGTAGGCAAGGAGATGAACAGTTAAACCAGGTATTTTACAGAGCCTTTCGAGCTGGCGTTTTCGGGTTTTAAGTTTGCGGAGTTCGGGGGTTTACCAGCGGGCTGAGCGAGTAAAGGAGACAGATTTGGTTTTGATGGGGGCGACTTGACTGAGACAGGAGGAGAGTGCTGTTGTAGTAGTTGGTGAGAACAGTGGGGTCATGGGACAGTGGAGGAGGTAATATGGACAGGTGGTTGAGGACGGAGGTAGAAGAGTCAGTTGGGGAGATGGATTTGAGGTTTCTGAATGATATGATGCTCTTTTCCTTGGGAAGAGGGGTAGGGAGGTGGAGGTCCAGAGTGATAGCCAGGTGATCGGAGGTTGGTGCTTGAGAGTTTTTCTATGGTGAGACTGGTAGAACAGACCAAGTCCAGAGTGTGGCCGTGGGTGTGGGTGGGGAAGTTGACATGTTGAGTGAAGTTAAGGCAGTCTAAAAGGTCAAGAAATTCAGAAGCATGTTTGCAGTTGGTGTTGTCTTTATGGAAGTTCAAGTCTCCAAGGAGCAGAGTGAAAGTTGAGATAGGCAAGGATGAGAGTGGCTCATGATGAAAAAAGCGGAAGTGGCCGGGACGCGGGGCGGGGCCACTTACAAAAGTGGCACTAAACATGCTGAAGATGAAGTGTATTCAATTTACACACTATTTGAAACTTTAACAGAAAAAAATCCCAAGATTGTTCACTATTCTTTCAAGTGAAATTTGTGCAATTTTGCTTATGCATTCCTGGTGAGCACCAACATGTAACTTCAAATTTGCTGCTCAAAATCAAAACTAAAAAAGGAAACACATTCCCTGCCATATTTAAGATTTGTTCATTACTTGTATTCAAAAGTATTGTGTAAATGTGATAAAAAGCTGTTGATTCTTACCTCATACAGTGATAGTGAAGTCCCACACTGTTTACGATATATGGGTTATGAATGTATTTTATTATATAAAGTCTATTTACAGTAAATACAACAATATACAGTTTCATGAGGTAGAATACTTCATTTTCTTTTCATTTTAAGCTGTTTAGCAAGCGCTAAAAGCTTATTGGTCCTCGCCGCCTTTTTCCATTCTCTTTTTAGCCAACTCCTCTTGTTTTTACACATGCTCCAGGCTGTCGAAAAGCGC